GAAAGGGGAAAATAGTAATTTCCTGTAAACTTCTTTGGCCGACTCCACTGTACGTTGATCATTCGATGGCATCGTTGACCTGGCAATAAACTTCAGAACTCTACTCATTCTCAAATGAAAGCCATATCCATCAGGCCATGCATCTTCTTATAGTTTCAGTTACTTTCCTTGGCATCATGCATCTTCTCAATTTGGTCTTGTATCCTCAATCAAAGTGCATGTATAATTACACCAATTTTACAGTTTTCTCTCAATTATAAACCTGACCTCGTGATTTTTTCAGTTACTTGGTGTCGATTTCTGATAGTGTACAAAAGCAAGCATCCTATGCTAAATAGATTAGTGTATATCATTGCTGCTCGACAATATTATATAAAGTGTTAATCAACCTCAGAGACTTCGACAGAGGCTCTCAATCGAAATTTTCATGTGGCTGAATCCCAAAAGTTGTTTTGTAAGGAAATGTTAGAATTTAGGAGGTGTGATGTGTGTTGCTCTGATACCACTGTTGGATTGTAGGGGAAACAAAGTGATTTTATTATACTTGGAGGAGAATAGTACATGGCTTGTGTAGGCTAATTGGCCTCCTTAGGATATTGGCTTATTGGCCACCACACTTGACTTAGATTAGTTTGGGCTATTTGGTCCTTACACTTTAATTGGTGAGCTTATTGGCTCTTAACATAGTTTAATTTGGGTAGCTCTTGGCTCCCTAATAGTTTGGGAGTCTTCTTGTTACACTCCAATTTGCTTTATTGCATTGCATGCCTATTTATAGGCAATCTTTGTTCTAGAAAGTTCTTCCATCTTTAACTCTCTTTGTCTTGTACTAGAATGTTCTTCAAGCTTGCTTTTGTTCCACCTCCTTATTCTTTTCTCCACAACTCTAGATTCTTCCAAGCTTTGCATGTGGTTGCTGACTTCCAATCAAGCTATAGCACTTTCTTCAAGCTTCGAGATTTCTCCATCTTTTGAAGTCTTGACTTCTCTAGAATTGTGTAGAATACAAATGGGCATTATTTTTTCAACACTCATCCTTAATGCGCATTTGTGTTTCTCCACGCATGCTTTGTATCCTTAGTTACGGAAGAGTCTTGTTCACATTATGCTCCTCCCGAAGATAGCATTGATGAAGCTCTAGTTAATGCTGCAGCTCTGTGCTCGTGTGGCACTTTTTTTCATGCTCTTGTGGCAGTTTCTCTATTCGTAGTTAGCTTGATAGTTCTTTGTCGGCAATTTTATTATTCTCAACGCCCAATTTTTTTAGTTTCAATCATTTGGGCTTCTTTTCTTCTTCTTTTTTTTCTTTTTCTGGGTGTCTTTTAACTTTTTGCACACCCCACATGGAGGAAAGTTTTTCCTCTCATGCCATTTCTTTTATTTGCTCTATCTCCTCCTCTAGAACTTTCTCTAGATATCCTTCCCCTTCTCTAGATTTCTCGAAACCTTGAATTGAGTATTGATAACACGTACCTTACTTTCTTTGCTTCCTTAGAATCGGCCCATGCGCCCATAGTTGATCGAACCTGCTTTGAAGTCGGCCCTTACTCCCAAAGCGATCGAACTAGCTCTGACGCCCAATGCGATCGAACCAGCTCTGATACCACTGTTGGTATGTAGGGGAAATGAAATGATTTTATTAGATTGGAGGAGAATAGTACATGACTAGATGTAGGCTAATTGGCCTTCTTCATATTGGCTTATTGGCCTCTTTAGCATATTGGCTATTTGGCCACCACACTTGATCTAGATTAGTTTTGGGCTATTTGGCCCTTCACTTAGATTGGTGAGCTTATTGGCTCTCAACATAGCTTCCTTTGGGTAGCTCTTGGCTCCCTTAGTTTGGGAGTTAATGGTTTACTCCACATTTCATTGTGGTTGCATGCCTATTTATAGGCATTCTCTTGTTCTAGAAGGTTCTTCCAACTTCAACCCTCTTTTGTTCCTTTTTCCAACCACAAGTGTGTGGCTTCATCTAGAATCTTCTACCATATTCATTTTGCTTTGTTGCCTTGCAACTTCTTTATTGTGAGCTCTTGACTTTTCTAGAATAATCTTTAAGGTTTGCATATGGCTGCTACCTTCCCATCAAGCTATAGCACTTTCTTCAAGCTTCTAGATTTCTCCATCTTTTGAAGTCTTGACTTCTCTAGAATTGTGTAGAATACAAATGGGCATTATTTTTTCAACAGGAAAAAACATTTCTAGAAAGCATCATTTGTAACTGGAAAAAAAAAATGGACAAAGAAAAAAGAAAAAAGAAGATGACTCACACTAAAATTAGGGAAAATGAAGTCATCATTTCAAGCAATTCTCTCATCGTCTACTTTGTTTTTATCTTCTTTCTGACTATCTTCCTAATGCGTGTGGTCCTTTCTTGATATCCCAAATCGGCATGGGAATAGAGGGGAAGGCAACCTATTTTCTTTCTATTAAAGGAATTGGGGGAAGCTTCCGTGCATCTTCTTCCCAACAAATACATAAAACGGACAATTTCAGTTACACTATATGAGGTTTGGTGTAATTGCAATCAGACCTTACAGGTTTTTTTATTTCATTTATACTCCTTATGTTACTTTCTTTTATTAAAAATCTAAGTTTGACGGATGAAAAATAGAGATATATAAAAGTATTAGATTAATCTTTGGAATGTAAAATTAAAGAAAAAAATCTAAAAATTTAATTACAGAAACATTTTGAAAAACAAGATCAAGAAAATTCAATTGTGTGTCTTCCATCCACTACTTACCGAGGAATTGTTAAAATTTGGACTATTTTGTGCTAGAAAATTTGGTATCTCCAATATCATTATTGAAGGATCTTCTCGTGTTTTAGTTCGTCTGCTACAACATCAACACATACCACCTTGGCGAATTTTCTCCTTAGTTTAGTTTGCAATATTACTAGTTGTCTCATTAAGTACAAGTTATACAATCACCATATCTTTCGTGAACGCTCTCAAATTTTTAAGAGCCCAATCTAACGGGTACGCACAAGTATCCTAGAACCAACCGCCTAGCACCTACTCCCCCATTGATATCTTTAATTTTTTTCTCTTTTAAACGTGAAATAATGTTTATGACAATTTTTGTATCTGAAAAAGATAAATCATTTTTCTTTTTCTATTTTATTTTATTTGGTTTTGTTTTGTGAAATGCAAACGACGACATTAGGCCTTTGACTGCACGTTATTTCCTAGTATTCATAACCGGGCGTTGAGCTTGCAATTTCTTAGAGTAAAAGTAACCGGCCGTTGAACACGAAATGTACAGTAGAGTGGGAGGATATATCAACAAATTACTGTTTTCTTGGTGCTAAACAGAGAGATTTGAAGTCGAAAAAATGTCATTCATATTCTTGTAAGTTTTTCATTTTTTATTTTTATTTTTTCAGTTAACTTGAGGGGTTTTTATTTTCTTTTTTTTTCTTCTGTTGGCATGGTAGGTGTTTGTGATTTTGTCACAATGACCCAAGTTGCTTGTATTTTTAATAGGGCTTCCTGGAAGTTCAGTGGAAGTTCATGTGTTTGATCATGAAAGGTAATTGTTTGGGGGAAGAAAGGAACACGAAAAAGACAATGACGAGGCAAAGGGTGATGATATGTACTTTTTAAAAGTATGAATGAATAATTAATGAGTGGCTTCTAGACATTACAACTTGGAAATTCCAACTCCCCCGAACGATTATAAACGGCCCCATGATCTCCAAGCAAACGCGTTATAAATCTGAAAAGACTCAGTTGGACGCAGCTGCCATGCATCTTCCCAATTTGATTAAACAAATGTTTATAGATTTGGACAAGCAAAAAGAAACAAATATCTTTCTAAAATAAATTTAAAACGTTGGGTTTTTAGGTCCCACTGTATGTTATTCCTACCAATCATGATAGGGCATTGACTCCGCAAAGCTCATTAATAAACTTGGAAACTGTTATAGAATTCTCAGAGAAGCTGAAACTAACGAGCTAAACTGGTGCTTGAGCACGAAATCTGCAGCATACAGACAGGGAGGAGATATCAACAAATTACTGTTTATTTTGGGGCAATCCGAGTCCAGTTCTAAGGGGCCTGGGTGATAAACAGAGAAATTTCAAGTGTAAACAATGGCATCCAAAGCCTTGTAAGTCTTTTTTCCCTGGTTTTAATCCTTTAACAAAAATATATAGCTTTCCTTTCCTTCAAGGTTTTTTTAAGTAAGTCAAAATTGAGTATTATTATTGTTTCTCAGTTTGTAAATATATGAAAGCTGAGATTTGATCTCTTTGGATTTCATGTAAAATTCTAAAGAACAAAATGAAAGCAAAGTGTGGGTGCTAATGCTATGTCTTTTCTTGAGAATTGGGATAGATTAATTATTTTCATTTTATCGTTTTCTTATTCATTCCTTTGTGCATTGTGTGGGCTCTTTTGTGTGTATATATATATATATATCAGGTTCTCAATCATTCCACGTTTAAAGCGAAAGGAGGAAAGAAAGAGATCATTCTTGAAGAATGGAAGCATCTTACTAAAGGATCTTATTGCTTCTTGTGATGGAAAATCTCATCCTATTCGTTCTTACTCTGCTGCTGAGCTCATCAGAGCTACTAACAACTTTGATCCTTCTTGCATTATAGATGAATTAGTATACTTCGACATGTACAGGGGTATTCTAGATGACCGAACAGTTATCATTAGGAAGTACGGACGTTGGGTCGAGGTTGACGAGGCTATTCGTGATATTATCATATCAATGCAGATGAGCACCCATAAGAATTCCTTGAAATTATTAGGCTGCTGCTTAGAGTTCGATAAACCGGCTTTGGTGTTTGAAAATGCAGGAAAAGGAGGTCTCAACTCTCATGGGAGTTTAGAAGTGGATAATGAATTATTACCATGG